GTAGTGTTGGGCCGTCATCTGCATGGTCGGCAGATCGAACCACCAGCAGCTCCTCGGAAGAGACTGGGCTTTCTACTCCCATAAACAGATACACACACAAACACCTACCCAGCGAGGAAGGAACAGAGGGAGGGAGAGGGGAGGTAGCCAGGCCCAGAGAGAGAGAGAGAAGCGAATCACCAAGCCAGTGGCCGTCTGTCTCGCGGCTCACCACCCCAACCTCCTGCTTTCAAGGGCTTTCCCGTTACGTCTGGGATTCATCTCTATTCCAAGGAAAGAAAGGCCCTTTGGTGTTTCAGGGACACTTTTTTTCATGAGGCTGTGTGTGTGTGTGTGTGCTCGTTTCCCTCTGAAGTACCAGGGAGACAGCAGGGAGGACCAGGATCAAAAGAAGGGGGTGAAGGGGGTTCTGCAATCCTGCCCAGGGAAGAGGTGGGATGGGCTGAGACAGAGGGGTCACCTAAGGGCCCACATGGAGGACTTGTGGATGACACCCCTTCCCGGGCCGCCGAAGCCCCACAGGGAGGTTAGGAAGAGGAGAGTCGGTGTCTGGGTAGACAGGGTTCATTTTCAGAAAGCCAATCCTGGTGCAGATGGGGCCGCCTGAGCACTGGCTTCGCCTCTGCAAACCTGAACCTGTGGGGCTGGAGAAGCAAGCTGCCGGAGGCATGTTCTCAAAGTGAATGATCATGGAGGAAGTCAAGCTGCATTAACGGGGGTAGGGAGCGGGGCGGGTGTTTCAGGAGGCCCAAGTGGACCCTTCAGTTTGAGCCCCTCTCATGCCCTATCTGAACCAGGCTGGGATCAGCACAAAGCCTTAGGGGGGGATCCACCCACCGTCATTTGCTGTTAACTCCACTCCAAATCATGGCAACTCATGCGGGCCCGCAGTGCTATGCATGGGAGGGTTTCCACTGGCTGGTTGGGAGGGGCGGGGTGTGGGTGGGGGGGAGTGGGTCTGCTGTAGATGACAACCTTCCTTCACTCTCTTGGTTAGCAGTCAAACGTGTCAAGGGTTCGCACCATCCAGGGACTCCCTAGGGGATGGAGGGAGGACCGCACACTAAGCACAGGACTCCCCTGTCTCTGCACCCCCCGCCCCAGCAGCTCACGGGGTGGTGGAAAGAGCCCGGATGAAAGCAGGTGAAGGAATAATCAACTGAGAAATGGTGAATGGTGATCAGACCCACTGGGATTCTTGTCAAGTGGAAGGGGACGCTTTTCCTGCCCCAAGGAGAAAGTTGCCCCCACCTGCCCCCGCTTCCTTCTCTTCCCACAGGATTCTAGGAAGGAAAAGACCGAGCTGATTCTGGGGAGGAATCCTGGGGAGCCGCTGTGCCTTGTGGCTGGATCACACTGGATGCCTCCTATCGCCTTCCCAGGAATTCCCCACCCCTGTGGTCTGGGGACTAGGGGGCCACTCCAAAGGTCTTTGGCCAACAGTTCTTCACATCCTGGGCCCCACTTTCACGGATGGGCCCAGCATTTCCACAATTCTTCCAGATGGGAGGACTGCACCACCACCACCACCACCACCCCCCCACCCCCTGTGAGTTTCCAAGATGGCGGCTCGTGACGGGAGTACAAAGCCCCGTCTTTCTCCCAAGGACTGGCTGGTGGTTTCCAACTGCTGACCTTGGGGATTGCAGCCCAACGTGTAACCACTGTGCCACTGGGGCTCCCCTCAGTGCTATTTAGTATAAGGGGACCAGACGTCCCGATTTTTGGTGTTTTTAAAAAGTCCCAATTTTTGGAAAGAATGCACAAGCTAGGGAATGGTCTATTTGGTCCATATAGACCAAATTTTTTTATCAAGAACACCCCCTACACCCCCCCGGTCAATGGTGTCCTGCTTTAAATTGGGTCACCTTAATAGTACCTTGTCTCCAACATGCCACCACCGTCAGAGGCAATGCAACTGGCTTGCAGGTGGTCACGTTTCGTGAATTTTCTGTATGTAAAATTCAACTCAGAAACCACCTGGCTCATGAAGCGGTCATTCTTCTGCTGCTGTTCTCTGGCCCACCAATAGAGGTGACCAAAGCAAAGACTCGGACCGAGTATATGCAGGCTGAAAAATGTGTCCACCAACACACCTAATACAGGTCTGACTATTATAACACTCACCAGAGAAATCAAGGCAAGCGATATGGGTTGACCATAATAATTACTACCGAGAGCAAATCTTTGTCAAATCTCGGCGAGATCCACTCTGGGTATTGTATCAGGTGCTCCTCCACGTGTATTTCTTCACAGCAACCCTCTCAGGACAGTATCCTCGCCGCCACCTGACAGGTCAAGTGCAGAGCACTGTGGTGAATTCTCTAAGATCGTACACATGATCAACTGGATGCAAGTCCAGGGGTCTAACTCCAAGCTCACCCCTCCTAAGCACAGCCACTGTCTTCTCTCTTTGTCCAGGGAACGGTGGAGTGCAGTGGAGTGAGGCTTTGTGCCCAAGTTTAAATGCAGGTCACTTAATCTTCAAGGGCTAGTTTCTTCATTGGCAAAACAGGGAGACCCATCACACCTGCCCCACAGGGTGAGGCTCACATGAGATGTGGCAGGTCCATTGTTTAAGGAACACTGAGCCCTTCATGTTGGGGCTCTGAACCCGTGTCCACCATCCCCAAGCCCAGCGAGGTGGAGGACATGCACTACCATTTTCAGTGGGGTTTTCTTTCAGTGGGTTATCATCACTCAGCTCTCAGGTAGGTAGTCTAGTGCTTCCAGGGCATCTCCAATATGCTGCCTAGGGGCTTGCACCGGCCTTCCTCAAGTTGGCTTGATTTTATATTCAACGGTGTATCACAGATTCCTTTGGTGCGGGGGTGGGGGGTGGTGGTGGGG